CCCTCAGTTTGTTTCTCAGAGTCCATAGTCTCCCATGGTTCGTCTCCCCGTTCACTTCCCCCCCTTCATTTTTCCCTTCCTACTATCTTCTCTTTTTTTTTTTAACATATAATGTATTATTTCTTTCAGAGGTACAGATATTTTGTCACCCAAAAATGTTAAACTTTTGTATAGTCAGGAGGGATAGACACTATAAATAAAGCAATATTAGCTATGAGTTTATGATTGCCAAAGCTGGTAATGGGGACATGGGAATTCATTGTACTCTCTACTTGTATATATATTTGAAATTTTCCATATTAGAAATGTTTCAAACATGCCAATTTGTCAATAATAGAGTTTAAGTTTGCCTAAAATATTTATTATTACGTATTTTGAAGGGCAAATAAAATACCATTATTCTATGTATTTATAGAACCCTGGATATACTCCTCATAAAAAGCCACATCATAAACCTTTTGTTGTATCTATTTCATATTTTCGTATGTTTGTTTGAAGTGCTTGAAGCACTTAACATGGAAAAAATGATGTCCACCATTTCCTGCTGGATGGAAAGCTCAAGACACTCACTGGTATCAACAGACTCTGGAAGCACCGAGGAAATTCCCATATTAATCATCGAAGGCTTCCTTCTCTTTAATTATAAGTAAGCATCCTCAACCTCTTATTGACTCTCAATGAATGGGGGGAAACCTCGTGAACTCAAGATGCTGTTATTTTAGGCCCCTCGACACTCTGTGGAACCGAAGCTACTTTCTGACGATTCCTTATGAAGAATGTAAGAGAAGGAGGAGGTGAGTTTTGAAATCACCTTTGCGGATTCTAATTCAAAAGACAAAATTAACACGGGGATAGAAAGCACAGCATAAGGAGTAGGGTCCGTAGTGTTTGTAACAACACAGTATGGTGACAGGTGGTAGCTACACTCAGGGTGCTCAGAGCCTAACATAAGGAGAAGTTGAATCCCTATGTTGTTTGACTGAAACCAATGTAACCTCGGGGCGCCTGGGTGGCTCAGTCGTTAAGTGTCTGCCTTCGGCTCAGGTCATGATCCCAGGGTCCTGGGATCGAGTCCCGCATCGGCTCCCTGTTCCGCGGGAGGCCTGCTTCTCCCTCTCCCACTCCCCCCGCTTGTGTTCCTCTCTCGCTGTGTCTCTCTCTGTCAAATAAAAAAATCTTAAAAAAAAAAAAAGAAATTAATATAACCTTATGTGTCAACCATACTTCAATTAAAAATAAAATTTTTTTAAGTAAAATATATGTGGATTATGATTCTAAATTCATGAGCTTTTACTTTGTTACAGACACAAAGAACACCAGTTAATTGAAAGCTTAAGCCAACATATCAGGTCCTCTGTCATTATTTACATTGCTTTTTGTCTCTTAATTCTCGTATAAAGCACTGAAGGAGGGGGAGATAATTTTGAATGATAGTGAATTACAAAAGTAATTTGCATCAGAAAACTAAATCTGTTTTGTTCTCTTTGTAACTAGTGTTGAATCTAAAATGTATACTCTTAATTCTGTTTAGATTCAGTCTCAGTGATTTTTCCCATTATCCTGACCATTATTATTTTATTTTTATTAATTGTGTGTTTCTGTGCACATAAAGTTTCCTATGTGTTTTGGTAGTACAAGGGTCTACAAGCCTCCAGACGTCCCAGGGTACTTTGATGGCCACGTGTGGCCCATGTATCTAAAGCACAAACAAGAAATGGAGAACATCACGTGGGAAATTGGTAAGTACCTTTTCTCCCCCCACAGAAGGCCTTTATTTGTCATTGCTCCAAGTCCACAAGAGAAAGGATTTTTTTAAAAGGAGGTATTTTTCTCATGGATTACATTATAAAGGAAGCCTTTAAGCCAGAACACTCTGGACCCTTCCACAATTGACTGTCCTGGTTTCTGTTTCTCTCTGTAAGGCTCTTGTCAAAGCCTGTCAACTTCTAGATGGTCATTCATGAAATGGGTATTAATCGAATGCCTTCCTGACAAGGCACTGCCCTGTTGATACTGAGGAAAATAAGACAAACCCAGCCCCTACTCCTAGGAGCTGGCATTCTGTCAGGGAAACGGGCCTTAAAAACACTAGCTGCATGAGCATGTCCTTTCTAGCTATGCTAAGTGCAAGTTCCAGGGGGACTACCCAAGGCCCAGCAATCAGGGAAGGCTTCCTTGAGGAAGCTACTTAAACCACACTTGAGGGGTTTAATTGGACAAAGGAAGGTAGTTCAGGGGGACAGAAGATCACTCCAGACAGTACACGAAAAGGCCAGGGACAGGAAGGAATGAATAGCACCTGAAAAAAGGTTGGTGTATTTTTGGTAGAGAAAACCAAGAGAGAGAGGGGATGCTGGAGACACAAGGAAAATCTAAACTCTACAAGGCCATAGGCCAATTAAGGACTTGGGTCATTATCCTAGGAGAATTGGGAAGCCCTCTACAGAGAGGTTTCAAACAAGGACATGGTAAATACCAAATTCTTGTTTTAGTGAGATTCCCCTAGCTATGTGAGCATGGATGTATTATGTGCTTAATAGAACAGAATGACATAAGAAATATGGAGGGTGCCCCTCTCTCCCTCTCCATCTAAATTGCCAATCTAGGGGTGCCTGGCCGGCTCATTCAGTGGAGCATGCAACTCTTGATCTCAGGGTTGTGAATTCAAGACCCACATTGGGTGGAGAGATTGCCTAAAAATGAAACTTAAAAAAAAAATACCCATCTAACCATGCCCCCACTTTGCTTAAATGCCTGCAAAGAGTCTCCAGCTTTTGGTGGGACGTCTGGGTAGCTCAGTCAGCTAAGCGGCTGCCTTTGGCTCAAGTCATGATCCCAGAGTCATGGGATCACGTGTCGGGCTCCTTGCTCAGCGGGGAGCCTGCTTCTCCCTCTGCCTGCCACTCCCCCTGCTTGTGCTCTCTCTCTGACAAATAAATAAAATCTTTAAAAAAAAAAAGTCTCCAGCTTTTTGGGATAAAATCCAAACAGGCCCCTAAAGACTAAGGCATAGACAGCCTTGCTCTAAAATCTCATCTCTCCGGTGTTCCTACCTCCCGCATTCTAGCCCTTCCAAACTGTGCATCCTTTTCTTAACAAGCAAATTTATCTCTTACCTCCAGTTTTCTGATTAAAGCGTTCTTTTCTTCCTTTAACCTATTGAACTTCCACCTTTTCTCTAAAATTACGTATGCCATTTTGGGAAAGAATACATATCTCCCAGGCCTGGAGAATCTGAGTCAGTACACGTGGCAGAGACCAAACTCCTGCATGGTTCTTTCTGCCCA